TTCTAAAATGAAAACCATGGCTTAGCTCTCTACGCTATCTACCCCTATATCCAACAAAACTGAAAATAATTTGCAAGGATTTGGTGGCTTTAAAGTGAATCAGTATTATTCTATGGTGTAGTGTAATAGTAACCACTACCAACAACAGCATGCAAAGAGTTTTATGCAAACCTCATTATAGGAGGGCAGCACCCCCCCCCCCAGAGAAAGAAATATTTTGTAGAATATTAAAAAGGCAGAATATATTTCCCCAAAGGATCTTAAAGGCAGAAAAGCAAGCCTAGTTTTTCTTAAATAGCCCCAAGCAGAAACTAGGCAGTGGCCAGCTTTTAGAAATGCAGATGTGATAATCCTTTCAGAAAGATTGGAGCCAGGAAGCTAGAAGCTGATGAGATTAGGAAGAAAAAGACTCCTAAAATCTACATGCCCCACTAGAGCAGGCTTAATTAGGAATGAAGGTGCTAAAATATATTAATTGCTGTGGGTTGCATATGAAAATAGGAATCCATAGAATGGTGACAGTTGTAAATTAAACTCCAGTGAATGGTGATTATAGAAGAACTGGAGAACCTCTCTTTGGAAAATAATTCAGCATTCTGAATGAATGTTATCTGAATGAAAACATTATTCTGTTAGGTGACATAAATAGCTGGTAGGAATGAGAGTGCAAATAACGTGACTGGGCCTTTCAGAAACCCAAGAAAGAATGAGAATGCGGATCTATGGTTACCTTTTTTTTAAAAAAAAAAAAAGCCTGTTTTAAGCATAAAAAGATTCATACATATGCATGTTAAAAGAATAAATATAAATCTAAAAGCATGACTTGTGGTTGGAAGAATGAAGTTTTCCTGAGAGGGATGAGCAAAAAGTACTGGGAGTGTATGCCAGTGTATTCTCCAGGTGGAGTCAATCAAGTAAAGAAACTCATCCCAACAGCCCACTAAAACAAGCAAACACCACTATCAGATAACAGCAATATTACTGGAATTGGATGGTCACTTGAATGACAACAGCAAAGGCAAGAGCAAACAACTCTCATATTTTATCCAAAAAAAACCTCCCCCAAACTGGATAGAACAAGAGAAAGTGAAGACGATATAGAGTTGGATGGTGTCGATATAACTAGGAATCTTGCTGATGGTGGACCAATGAAGAACAAAGAAAATCCAAAGCTGGAAAGAGAGAATTCGATGGAAAACTAGAAACATGGACTATAAGAAGGTAGAGAGAAAACATGGACTATAAGAAGGTAGAGAGAAAAAGAGAAAGAAATAAAAAAATATAACGGGTACAAGAAGAGGAGGTAGGACAGTGATGGCGAAACTTTTAGAGACCGAGTGCCCAAACTGCAACCCAAAGCCCACTTATTTATTGCTGGGTGCCAGGTGGGCGTGGCCCACTGGGTGGGTGTGGCTATGGTGGTCATGGCAGACTGGGTGGGTGTGGCCAAGGTGGGCCTGGTCACCTCGATGTTGCTCGTGGGGAGGGATGACTGTGGGGACTGGGCAGGGTTGGAAGAGATCCAGGGGGTCTCTGGCAGGTGGGGTGGTGGGTAGGAGGCTCGTCCTGCGGGGTGAGGCAAGGCAGGGTGGGGGTGCCATTATCTCAGGGCAAGGCAGGGGCTGAGGCAGCTGCTGCCTGACACCATCGGCCCCCGCACACAGAGGCCAGCGAGCGCATGGGGGCCGACAGTGTCCATCAGCAGCCATAGCCTGCTGGCCCCTCAACTGGCGCACTCTGGGGCTCCACAGCCTGCCACCAGCAGTTCAGAGAAGTGCCCACAGAGAGGGCTCTGAGTGCCGCCTCTGGCACGTGTGCCATAGGTTCGCCACCACTGATGTAGGAGTTCTGTTGAAAAAGCATTAGTAAATAAACTGAATAAATGGCCAGTGGACATAAAGAAAAAAGATATGGGAGTTATTTGAAACAGAGTGAAAAATAATGTGTTACACATTATCATGGAAGGGTATGAAATTATGCTAGTGGGAAGGATGAAAAAAAAATCTGTGATGAAAAGGTGACATGAAAAAGCCTGTGGGTAAGGAAAAATCAGTATAAGGGAATGATTGCTGCAAAAACTAAAGATAAATATAGTACAAATATAGAGAAGACTGAAGTGGGCAGCTATAACAAATCTAAATAAGTAATGTGGATACACTTTTCAGTGTTAACAATAACTTAAGAGTGTTAGATGATGCTAATGTGTTTTGACTGCATTTCTGAAAACAAAAGCTATTTCATTTTATATACTGCCGTCCTACAGCTTTAAACAAGTCAATTTTTTTGCAATAACTCAAATGTTTTTTTAAAAAATCTTTATTAGCAATAATCTTTTCTAAAATGTTAATACTCTGTTGACCTAAGGAAAAAAGAAGTACCTGAAATTTTAGACCATTATATGACAATTATAAGCAATTTTTGTATATTTGTCCTTCTCCTTAAAAACTACTTGATAGCTTATTGATCCACTTGAACTTAAATATATGAACCTAAGGGAATCCCTCTGAGTACATATATCAATGATATAATATCAACTTTCACAACATCTGGTTGCTGTGAAAGTTGATACGGTTCACTTTCTGTATTTATCTTAGCAATTGTTTTTTATTTTTTTTTTTATTTTAAGATTCTTTTTCCAGAGTCACTTGTTGAGATAGAAAGCCATGCAGATTGAATGAATGAACAAATGAATGAATGAATCTGCTTTCTCCATAAATCCACTTGCATTTTAAAAAAAAATTCTTTAAACAAAATGCTTTCCAGTGCCCTAAAGAAAACAGGTGATCTGTGCCTTGATGGGGCAGTCACAGATTGTCAACTGATGGTGCATCTTCTCATAACAGGAGCCAAAACAGCTACATTGAGAAGTGCTGGAAAGATGTTCAAGTGGGAGACTTTGTGCAGCTGCAATGCAATGAGGTCATTCCTGCTGATATTCTACTGCTCTACTCCTCTGATCAGAACAGGATCTGTTACTTGGAGACTGCAAATCTTGATGGTGAGACCAACCTTAAACAAAGACGAGTTGTGAAAGGCTTCTCCCATCAGGTAAGCAACTTTCCTCTCTTTCCTTGGTAGAGGAGAAGAGGATCACCACCACCTTTAGTGATGGAAGGGTACAGTTGGGCCCGGGTTTCACATATAGAGACAGAGGTATTCTCAGTATGTTTCAGAATTTGAAACCTTTGATTATTTCAGTCAAGATTAGGAAATTAAATCATTAATTCTAACCCTCCCTACCTTCTTTTTCCTCTTCATTTGGAGCAGTTTTCTAAGCCACTGATTTTTAATACTGACATAGAGTGTAGCAAGATAGGATCACAAGGCTAAACACTTAGGGAATAATTTATATCAACCTTTGCTTGCAAAATGCATGAAGATGGGACCATTTCAGGTGCAGAATTCAATGGAATCTATGGAAAAGCAGTATGGAGGTCTTGTAAGACAGCCTCAAGTTCTTATTCCAAGTTATAATTATTAATAGAATGGAGCAGAAGAGAGGAGAAAAGTAATCTTTACAACGTATCAGCTGTTAAAAAGGTTACATAAAAGCTGAGTTTTGGAATGTAGGTTTCGAAGTTTTGCCGACACAGGAAGGGGCATGCTCTACTCCAGGCCTGCACAGAAACTCCCAGCCTGTCAGCACATTTGTGTAGTAGACTGTCAGATGCTTGATAAGGCTACAGTTAGATGGGAGAGGGAGGGAGGAGGGTGAAAAAAAACAGGTGATTTATTTTGCTCCAAAGTGATGAGCCAGCTTGCAGGCTGCAGTGTCAGATTGTCATCCACACTGTGCAGATCGATCTTGATTGGTTACATCAGTGTGTACATCCTGAGAATGAGATTCTACATTTACCCCTAACCAAGACACAGTCATTAATTTCAAGCAAGCCATTAATGGTCTCCAGAGATATATCTTGAAGGGAATGTTGTGACCACCAGTTTAAAAGATCCATTGACTTTTTACCAATATGTAATATTCTCTTGCACCTTTACTCAGTTTTCTTCAGGATCTATTTTTAAAAAATAACTTAATTTTGTTTATAATAATAAAAGAGAGAGAGAGAGAGAGAGAGAGAGAGAGAGAGAGAGAGAGAGAGAGAGAGAGAGAGAGAGAGAGAAAAAAAAAAAAAAAAAAAAAAAAAAAAAAAAAAAAAAAAAAAAAAAAAAAAAAAAAAAAAAAAAAAAAAAAAAAAAAAAAAAAAA